TTTGTGGTTGCTTTCCACCTATAGGGCTCTCTTCTGAGACAGGCTTTGGACGTTTTCACACGGGGCAAAAGGAGGATGCTAGCCAGCCTCCCGCCGGCCTCACTCCGGCTCCATTTTCCGTGTGTTCACACACGCGCGGCGGCAAACCCCGCCCCTTCCGGTGTCATCCCTGCGTCCAGCCGGCTTTTCACTCCGTGTGTTCAGACACACGGAGCCCTAAGTCCGGCGTCACTCCGGACGAAACAATGATAACTCCGGCTAACTCCAGCTTCAGGTAATTCCGGCTGTCAACAGGAATTAGCCTTTCGGCGGCGGAGCCATTCCGGAATCGGCGGCACGACCCGTTCCGGAATGGCTCCACCCGGCTTTAGGAGGACAAGTGTGAAAACGTCCCTTGTTAATCCCCTCTCTACTCTCTTTTTGCCAGCAGACAAAGACCTTCTTATTTAAACAGGCTTTCAACTTTTACTGGTTGGAGTAGTGCAATGGACATACTGGTTTTTAATAAGTAGCAGTTTTTAACTTCTAAATTAATGTTTTTAATAGGATTGTTATTTAATACCTTTAAAATGTTTGTATTCAGATTGTTTTAGTTATTTTGCTTTAACGTTCATTGTAAATCGCTTTGGGTTCTATATGGGAGAAAAAGCAAGATGCACATTAAATAAATAAATAAATCAAACTGTTGTTTTGTGAAATAGGTGTTTCTGTATGAAAAACAGAGTTTTCACACACCCCGCACCCCCCCCCCAACAGTTTCCAGAAACCCACATTTAATTTGATTCAGGATATCCATCATAAGATTTAGTCAGATTTTTCTTTCTTGTAGTACTTGACTTAGGGCCTTTGCAGACTGCCAGAAATAGTGCAAATTGAGTCCACTTTAAGGGTTAGGGTTAGTGCTAGGGAATCATGGGAAATGTTTTTTTTTTCCTGAGACATTGAGCCTTCTCTGTCAGAGAGCTCTGGGGCCGCAATAAAATACAGTTCCCATGATTCCCTAACCCTAAAAGTGGACTCAATTGCACTATTTCTGGCAGTCTGCAAAGGCCCTTACTTCAAATTGTGATAAGCCAACTCTGCTACTATAGCTGGGGGGCCTAACCCACTCATTCTTCTGAATAGTGCCCTGGATTTCTATATTGATGTCTAGCTGTGATGGCACCAATGGACTGTGTGCAGATTCTGCCTGCCTTGAACTGGATTGCAAGTGTATGAAAACTCCCTTACTTTCAGCTTCTGGTTCTTGGAACATGATGCAAGAATTGTAGCTCTGCCTAACAAGCTACCAGCACTGTTTCATGGGTCTACCAAGATCAAATGCATGTAAACTGTGAATCAGAAGCTTCTGAGGCTCTTTATTCCTCCTTCC